ATGTTATTCACATATACCAAAAATAGCACTGGTCCTAGGACTGACCCCTGTGGGACCCCGCTCGTCACAGGCGCCCACTCTGACACCTTGTCATATACCATGACTCGTTGTTGTCTCCCTGTCAGGTATTCTCTGAACCACTGCGGTGCCCTTCCTGTTATGCATGCCTGATCCTCTAGCTTCTCCACTTATCTCTTGTGAGGAACTGTGTCGAAGGCCTTCTTGCAGTCCAAGAAAATGCAGTCCATCCACCCCTCTCTCTCTTGTCTTACTTCTGTCACCTTGTCATAAAACTCCAGTAGGTTTGTAACACAGGATTTTCCTTCCTTGAATCCGTGCTGGATGTCGTTTATAAGCTTGTTCCGTCCTAAGTACTCCACCACTCTCCTGAATATTTTCCATGACTTTGCGTGTGTGTGTGTGTGTGTGTGTGTGTGTGTGTGTGTGTGTGTGTGTGCGCGCGCATTTCAATAAACATACAGCCCAAAACAAACACGTCAGTTACAACAAACCATCAACTTCTAACACAACTTATCAAACAACCTGGTAAACTAACTACATTACTAAGGACACACAACTCAAACAACACTCCCACCACCACTCACCACCACAACCCCCCCCCTCCTCCCCCATAACACCCCCACAACCTCCTCCTCCTCCACAACACTCGTTCCAGACCACAATACGGATTCCAGTCACCGCATTTTTCCACAGCAAAAGTGAATTTACCGAAGTAAGAATTCAAATTTCCTCTGCCGGCATATCGACCAGGCCTAAGAAATCACTGGGTGAAGGTTTCACTGAGAGTGAAGCCGCTGAGGTGGAATCCTCAACGAGGAATCATGATTTGGAATCCTTCAACGGGAATCCTTGGCATATCTAGTGAGGCAGAATCCTAAATGAGAGTTCAGGATTGGGAATGTGTGCTCCGCAATCCTTGAACGGGAATCCTTGAAGGGGAACCCTTTATCGGGAATCTTTGACGGGGAATCCTTCAATGGGAAACCTTGAACAGGAAACCTTCAATAGGAAACTTCAAAGAGAACCCTTGAACGGGAATCATTCAACGGGAAACCTTCAACAGGAAACCTTCAACAGGAAACCTTCAACAGGAAACTTCAAAGAGAACCCTTGAACGGGAATCCTTGAATGGGAAACCTTCAACAGGAAACCTTCAACAGGAAACTTCAAAGAGAACCCTTGAACGGGAATCATTCAACGGGAAACCTTCAACGGGTATCTTTCAACGGGAAACCTTCAACGGGAATCGTTCAACAGGAAGCTACTGCGACCAGGAGGTTCGGGAGTGCCGTGATGGTAGTGGCTGAGATATACGATTATTATTATTATAATCAAGGGGGAAGCGCTAAACCCGGAGGATTATACAGCGCCTGGGGGGGGGGATGTGGAAGGCATTCAGGCTTAATTCGGGGAACTGAAGCACAGATCCAATTCCCTAAATCAAGAACCCCTCACCAACATCAAGGAACCTTCCTTGAGGGGTGAGATATAGGAAGGTGGCGCCTCCTCGTTCCTTCAAGATCTGTTTACAAGTCATTTCTTAAATGTTTTAACTGTTATCAGTTCCTCTCTCTCTTGCACCTCTGCCTCTTATCACTTCCCTGCCTCTGCCCCTTCCTCTTTGCTGCCTCTCTCTACCTCTCTCTCTATATATATATACACGTTGAAAGAAAAAAAAAGGGGGGGAGGGGCCCCAAATGTTATCATCGTAAAAGCAATTTTAAAATTTATGCCCTAATTGTTTTTGGTCGCTTTAATACACCAAAACTGTAGCGAGTGCCTTCGTAAAAAAAGGCGATGATAATATTTTTCAAATTCAATTAAGGAAAGCGCCTACCAGGTTTTTTTTTCTCCCCTGCCTATATTCTAATGCAATTTTCTAAATGTATCTTATACCTCCTTTTCTCTTTGTGTGTGTGTATTATATATATATATATATATATATATATATATATATATTTATATATATATATATATATATATATATATATATGCAATAAGATCACAGTAAACAGGTGATTTCAGAATATGCAAAACAACCACTCTGAAAGAATAGAGAAATTCCAAGCGCTTTCGTGACTACTCACATTATCAAGGAACTATGAAAGTAAAGCATCCAAGGAAGCTATATAAGGGGTCTGGTCGGCACCTCACTATCAGATCCCACAACGGTTTAAAACACGTGACGCGCGGCGAGCCAACTTGGAAAGGTCCTTGGCACAACTCACCCCACAAACTATTCTACCCAAGAAATAAGAAATTTTAAAGATTATTTGTCCAGTGTATTATTAAATTCTTCCCAAATTCTATTAATTATAAATGGATCTAATTTATATAAACCAAAGGAAATATTCATATTATTGTCAAAACTGCTTTTTATGAAACAAGATTCAATTATATTCCTGTCGACCATGGACTTGCTTGATACTACTTTCTCAACTTTTTGAAAATCAATTGGATAGTTAAAATCTCTTACATG